TCCCAATGGGCGCCAGCCAGCGCCTATTCGCTTCTATGGACCTGGTCCTGACGGCAGAGTACGCCCTGATGACCCTCCCGTGGGGACTCTACATTATGCTAGATGGAGACACGAACTTGCAGCCTTTGAAGACCCCGACGGCACTGGATATTATCATGAAGAGCATCCCTTGACCATCAATGGCCAACAAATCCGGCCTACGTATACCACCAGGGGCAATCAGACTGCCCGAGAGGTGAACTACTTCCGATGGGAAAAAGTAACAGCAGATTCAATGAAGGGTGTCAAAACGTTCCCTGGCTCTGGAACTACTCGGGCGATTCATGATGAGTATCTTCTGAATGAGGACGACTTCAATAATAATCTAGACTTCGAGAAGCCGAAGGTGTCGCTCGGCCTAGATAATCGCGAGGGTGAAGATCTTGAGACTATTTACCCCCTTGGTTACAAACTGCTCAAACGGTGGTCTCAGACCAATGGCCATACCGAATGGAAGGAAGGAGTCTGTCTGGGAGCAGACCCGCACAACCCGAGCGCCCTTACGAAGCCCCTTGGGTGGTAAGTGACATGAAGATGAAGATCATATTGATTAAATTGATGCTTATAAAAGATCCAGGCTTTGTAAGAGACCCCGAATAGACAAGGCTGGTCTCGGCGCTGATCCTCAAGACGCCGTGTGGAATGAAGTTTTTCATGGGAACCTCGACGCGAAACGAAAAGGAAAATTTTCAAGACCCAAAGACACCTGGTCTTCTGACCCTGCAAAGGTGACGATTATGGCCAGCTCTAATAATATGGCACGAGACCCTAAAGACGCACCGACATTTTACATTCTCTCGCTCACAGCGCTTATGGCAGCCCTGCCATCTCCCGAACCTGACACGCTTCGCGCCAGAGAAGCTTGGATAGAAATGCAAGCAGCCAAAAGATCCGGGGATGGAGTTCAACAAGATTTCATGGCAAAGAGCCACCCCGATGACAAGCTAAAACTGATGTCACTGGTTGACAGAGCAACAACAGCCAATTCGACGAAGCTGATTACCACCAAAGTGACGCAGGAGGTAAACATCGAGTTGACGACAAAGCTGGAAGTCCTCGAGCTCACAGAACACAAGAATCTGAAAACTGAAGAGCACCTAGAAATGGCCGATACAGTCAAAGAGGGTGAAGTCAGTGAACGCAACACATCTGAGGAACACGACGCCATTGCGACTAGGCTCAAAGAGCTCTCCAGAAACCCAGAGCCTGGCAAGGAAGGCAAAACTCCGATTCTGATGTACTCTTCTTTTCGTTCCAGGTTCCTCGGAACACCTGTCACCCAGATTATGGGCTACGAAGGGTAAACTAGGAAGGACTGATAGGTGAAAATGTTGGGCTATGAGCGTGGATGATAGGTAAACTGCTGGATGCTTTTAGGTTTTGTCGAGAAAATCGTTGTATGGAATAGTTGAATGGGTTGAGACATGAGCTCCTAAGTCTAATGCTCTGAATCAAATAACTGCTAATTCATCTTTCATTCTCCTCAGGCCATGGCCGTATCGAGATACTATTAGTGAGGGGCACGTCAGTAATTGGGCAACGAACAGTGTGATGGAAGTGTTATTCTCAATTTGAGGCAGTACAGCTATTGATCAGAAGAAAGAGAGCATGGTATCGACTGTGTGACGAAGGTCGAAAACTGCCTAGCTACGAAGCAGAAAGTCAAGCAGCTCCGCACTTAAATATGTGAACAGACAAGACGCTCCTGGCCACTCTCTGTAACGCCCCCTTCAGCTCTATCTTGATACCTGTACCAGACAACAAAGACCTGTCCTTCCTTTGGATTCTCTTGATTCCCCTTTTTATTCCCTTAGCGGCCGTCCGCTACTTACTCCCCTGACAGAGCGTTAAGAGAACATGCGATGAATCACTTCAGCACAATGTCATCTTTTTCCGTAATGAGGAACAGGTCAGATATTAACGTCCCTAAACGGGCGTGTTCGTGTGCAGGTCATCTCGACATGTTTTCTTGTGGTCTTCGTGGTCTTCGTGGTCTTCGTGGTCTTCGTGGTCTTCGTTGTCTTCGTGGCCTTCGTGATCTTCGTGGTCAGAATCGTTCTGAGAATCATCGGCCGGCCCGTTGCGGTCACATTCAGGACCTGGAAACGCATGAGTTTCGCCATCCAGTGTTTGACAGCAGACACGGTATATGTTCATCCCGCGTCTCATAACTTCTAGATCATGGATCTCAGCGCCTTTCGCCAGACTGTCCTGCACGGCCCTTAGCCGATGTCGCATGTTTTCGGGCACAAGATCCGGATTTGCACCGAAAGTCAGTAGATCAGAGGCCTCGGCATAGCTCTGCTGGGCGAGAGCATAGGTCAACGATGTGCCGGAAAAGCCTTGTGCGTGGTCTGGAGGGGGAGCGAGAATATGGTCCCCGGAAACATACTCGTCAATCTCACTGGATCGGCCTAACTCTGCCAGGCGACCTAGTATGGTTCCCAAAGACGTCCTGTCTCGGAAGCATATGCAGAATCGTATTGCAACGCCGTTGAGAAGCAGGTCGTTCGAGTTCTTAAGTAGCTCGCTCCGGTTTATATGTGCCTGATGCTCTCCAAGCAGCGCATGGACGAAAAGGAACGTTAGGCCGTCTGCGTACTTCGCTTCTACGAGCCCCCGTACACCTGCCCACACCCTTCCTTCACACGTATTACGGCGTATATCCTGGGATATTTGTTGTATGTTATTGGCGAAATGGGGGTTCTTTGTTTCGACGTCCCATCTCATAGCAACCCTCATGTGTTCAGAGTTATGGGCATCACGAGCCGCGTGGTACATACTATAGTATGCGCCATTGGTAAAACTCTCCGTCTCCTCGTAACGAGCGCCACGTTCGAGGATGTACCTGAGGAGCTGTGGCATACGCATTCTGCTCTGTATAACATGGTCAAGCACCATGTTTCGCGCGGTTTGCAGTCGTTGTGGGTCAAGTCCATCGGCTTGTTCCTCTACCTTTTTGACAAGCCGTAGAGCTATTTTCTGGAACCCTTGACGTAATGCCAGCTCCATCTCACGGGATAGGTTTCGTAAGTCGTGCGTATAGGGAGAGAGAGAAGGGTAATAATCTAGTAACTCGAGAGCAATACTTTCACGCCAACCCATCTCTTCCCGAATCGAGGGCCAATCAGTCGGGAAGGTGTCATATGATAACACGTATTGCAAGGGATTGACCTCTTGCACTTCGCCGCTTATTTCCGTCACGTACACCTGGTTGACATTCGCTCCTCGCTTGAGTAGATACCTGATTATTGTGGGGTCCAAAATCTCGAGGGCAGCATGAAGGGGCGGGATCACGTTGCGCGTACCAGGTGCTCTTGTCGGACGGGCCGATGCCGAATCTGCTGGCCTGTTGTTGGGAAACGCGGAGTTGAGGAAGACCTCTGGCCCAAGCCCGTGGCGAATGCATTGGGCTTCATAGAAGTCTAGGATGCGCCCGATATGGTGTGTATCAAATTTTCCGCGAATGGCGTTAATTACCAATGGTAGCGAGTCGTCCTCTTGTTCAGTAGAGTCAGGGTCGCGTGAAGGAAGGTTTAGATGGCGTTCTGCATCATCATAGAAAATGTGTAGATTCTGGGTTAAGAAAACTTCTGGCAAGGCAAATGCTGCTATAATTCTCTCTTCGGGGCACAAAAGATCGGCGATTTCAAGGAGTAGCTCTGGTGGAAGAGATTTCAGAGTCACGGGCTCGTGTGATCTAGCCGCGTTGTTATCGTTGTTGCGCCCGGTTGACGTCATTAGCGCAGTCAACAAACCACCTAAGTTAAGCATATCGAGGCCGAAATTTGTGTCGTTTCGAATAAGGACTGCTTCGTTGCTTGAGTATCTTGCGAGGAAAATATGAACTGACGTGCAAAGGTATCCGATGTAGTCTGAATGGGATGAGTGAGGAGTCAAGTGCGTTTAGTTGGAGGAGAATCATAAATCATGACTAGAACTGAGTGAAAAAAGGTGTATCGATAGGAATGAAAACAAGCACATTGTTTGTCAAGCTTTTACCCTGATAATAGTTCAGAAGCCAGCCAGGCTGCTTCATGATACCTACACATGCTTAGCAGCTCGAACAGCCAAACAGACCGTTTATAACGGCGACTGAGATTTCTTTTACGGAATGGAACTACAGCAACATACTATACTGCTATAAACGTAGAACGTAGCTCAGTCGAGTGTTTGACCTCGACCGTAACATAAACAACTATGTTATGTAGAACTTCCTTTGTAAGACCTATTCTCTGTCCCAACGGTACACAATGTTCAATTTATAACGCCTGTTCATCTCCATCTATCTCTGTCATGCGCAACAAGTCGCCGCCTTTAGCGATATCTTATAATGTCAGTTCAGTATATCGCATCGAGAGCTGTTACTGCCAAGTGTCTCCAGCCCTTTCCTGCTATGGCTTTTCGGAAAGGGGTAAGGCTTGTGGTAATGTAACTCCTTTGATATAGGGTAGTACTTAACTGTCATATAACAAGTGGCAAAAACTCTTGTCAGAGGGCACAAGAGGTGATTCCAAGAGCTAGGCCGGGACGATCACGGTATCGTGTTCACCTGTGTTTCCATCTCTTCGGGTCGGAGGTCAGAGAAGGGCCGAAATGGGAGCGGCGGACATTCTACTGGAAATAATAAAAGGAACAGATGTAGTTGTTCATATTAACACTGCAATGCTCGTGTGTAGGTGTCGCTGCTTATGGAGCAATTCATTACTCACTTAGGTACATATGTTATCAGATTCAATAACCATTTCATCATCTTGACTGCGGACGCCTCCACTCTTTGATTCTGCGTCGTTTGTTTGCTCTTCTAATACCTTGTTCCCAAGGCTTTTCCTATAACCCTACCTCTAGAACTTCAGCGATCTCTCAGTGGCACGCGACAGAATTTCTACTGCTTACAACTGCAAAAGTACTGGTTGGTATCATCAACCTATATCACGTGCTATACTCAGCAGTGTTGGCATGGCAACGTGGCTGAGTGGTTAAAGCGTATGACTAGGATCGAACTAGTTGGTCTAAGATTCTAGTCCTCTTGTTGTCGTTAATTTGTCAATTTTCTTTTTCTCTTTAAAAGAAATATTATAAGTTGCACCTCTACCATTGCGTGATCTAGCTTTATCCAGTATTTTATTATTTCAAAGCGCGTGGATATATAAGTGGATAAGCAAATAAATAACAAGTGGATAAGTATATAAATAAGTGGTTTTATAGACTTATAAATAACTTTACTACACAACCTATTTTTTTATAACACTTTTTTAATATTTATCGGCTATAAAAACGCTACGGTTATACCGCGTTTTTATTTTATTATTTTTTAAATTATAGTTATAAACTTATATAATTTATTTTTAATTTTATTTTTAAATCGTAATAATAGCGCCCGCAAGGTTTATATAAAAAAAAACTCTTGTAAAAAACTTTATACTTAATTTACTAGTTTTTTTATCGATTAAATTAATTATAAATAACTTAGGCTCGTAGTTATAAAAAAATATAAATAATATATTAAAAAATAAAATTAAAATTATTTTAAATATAATATAAGCGTTTAAAAACTCGCTAAAAAAACGTGCTTATATTAATATAGCCGAAATAATATTACTTATAAAAAAAAAGCTTAAACGCCGCGAAATTTTAGTTTATATTAAGCGCTTAAAGTTAAAAAAATAAAAACTTAAGCGGCTAATAAAATATTAACGAGGTTTTATTATAAACGCAGCCGACTTAAATATAAAATTTTAAAAAATATATAAATACTTTTTTATTATATTTAAAACGATTAAAAAGTTTTTTAAAGTTAATTTAAAATATATATAAACAATATATAAAAATAAACTAAATTTAATAAACTTAATAAAATTATAAACCGGTAATTATATTATAACGTTAACGTTTTAGCTTTACGTTAATAATATAATAAATTAAATTTTAATAATAGTTTTAATTATAAAGATAAAAATATATAGCTTAAATATTAATTTTTAAAAATATTATTTTATAATATATATAATAATATATAAAAACTTGTTCGAGAAATATATATATATAGTTTAAATAATAAACGATTTTATTAAATAAATATTTAAATTAACTATAGTTTATAAACTCCGGTATATATAATAAGTGCGTGTTAAAAATAAAGCGATTTTATTTATAATGAAGAGAAAAAAAAAGCTAGCTTATAGGGCTAGCCAAGAGAAATCTAAGTAGGCTGTGGGCGACCCACTAGCCACAGGCCATGTGGCTAGTGCTGCGCACAAGCTATATAGTGGGCTACTTTTATAAGCGCGTATTAATATAATAATGTTTATAGCAAGCTATATACGCTTATTAAATATTATATTATATAACGCGTTATTATAATTTAAACGTTATATAAACTAAAAAACGATTTATTTTTTAACGGTAATATAAAAGCCGACAATATAATAAAAACGTTTTTTTAAATATTTAAGCCGCGATTTACGACTAAAAATATATTTAAAATAAAATAATAGTTTTTATAACTACGGTATTAAATTATTTAAATATATTTAATAATATATTTGCTTAAAATATAATTTTAAAAAATATAAAGCATTATAATATATAAAAAAAAACTATAAAACTTTAATTATTATAAATTTAGCCGATAATTATATTTTATATAATTTATAACTAGTCGATAAATAATTATTAAAAATTATATTAATAATTTACGCGGCAGCTACATTTTTTTTAAAACTATATAAAAATATAGCTTTTAATTTTAATATTTATATTAGTTTAAAAAAACTTTTAATCGATTTATTATTGTTGTTATTAATAAAAATATAACGCGTAAGCTTATAAAACTACTTTAATAACTTAGTAAAAATAATTTATAAAATTTTACGCTTTAAAGCTTAACTTAAATATAAGCTATTTTTATTTTTAAAAGTATTTAATAACTTAAAATTAGCTAATAAAAACCATAAAATAATTAAGTTTTAAATATATTTCGATTTTAAGCTTCGCCGAATTATAAAAGTTTAAAATAATAAAAAAATATTAAGCTCGTTACTTAAACTTATTTTAAAAATAAATAATAATTAACGCTATATTTATTATTTATTTTTTCCGCTTAATAACTCAGTAAATAATTAAATTTAAAAATATTATATAACGCTAAAATATATAATAATTTAAAACTTTTTTTAATTTATACGCGAAATAAATAAAAGCGTATATTTAATTAAAAAAAACTTTAAAAATATATTTTATTTAATGTTTATTATATACTTATAACGTTAATTATTTAAGTTTATATAAAAAAATTAGCGCTATTATAAAAATTATTTATTATTTAGTTTTTATATAATATTATTTTTATTTAATTTATTTATTAAAAGTTTTTATTAAATACTTAAAATATTATTAACTTAAATATAAATTATTTATTATTTTAATAATTTTATATTTATATTATTAAAAGCAAAATTAGTTTAAATAAAAGCGGTATATTTAAAATATAATTAGTTTTTATTTACACTTAGCTTAATTTTTAATAAAAAAAAACAATAAAAATATATACTTTAAATTTTTAAAAATAAAAATCGATATAAAAATAATAATAGCTTAATTTTTTTAAAAAAAGCTAAAAAAAGTTATATATTTTATAAATAAAACGTTAAATAATATATTAAAAATATAATAAAATATTAAAAAAATTATAAGCTATTTAAATTTTTATTTTATAATAATATTATTAAGTAAAGTTTTTTTAAGTTATTTTTAAAGTTTATTATTTTTTTTTAGCTTAAAAACCTTTTATTTTTTTTTATTAATATATTATTAAAATTTTTTAATAATAAAATTTATTACGCGAATTTAATAATATTCACTTTTTTATAAATATAAACAAGCCGTTGTTTTATTTATTTATAAATATATTAAATAAAAACTTTAGCGGTTTTTAATATAAAATTAATTTATTTTAAAAAAACTAGTATTTATATTTTTTAATTAATAAAACGTAAATATATTACCGCGCTTAAACGTTAAATAAAGTATTATTATATATTAATACGGTTAAATTAGCAGCAATTTAAATTATTTTTTAAATTTAAAGCAATTGTTAGTTTTTCGGCGTAGTTATAATATATATAAATAATATAATAATTAAATAAAACTTTATAAACGCGTTAATATAAAATTTATTTTCGCTTAAATTATTAAAAAATATATTAATTATAATAATTAGTTAAAACATTTAATTTTAAGTTTAAAAAATAATTTTTGCCGAAAATAAACTAATTAATGTTTTTTTTCGCTTTAATAAAACTATATTTATTAATTTTTATTTAAACTAATAAAATTATTTATTAAATATTTTATAAAATAATTTAAATAATAAAAACTAATAAATATAATTATTAAAAAAAAAAAATTTATTTATAACTTTATAAGCTTATAAAATAATATTAAATAATTATAATTATTAAATTTAAAAAAAAAAACTATACTTAATAAAAAAGTCGTATTTTTGCTGTAAATAATAAGCGACGCAAGAATTTTATTAATAATAATAAATAATTTATTTATCGAAAATATAACGAACGCGCAACTAAAACTTATTATTAATATAATTATAATTTAACAGTATTTTTATAAAAATTATACCGTTAAAAAGCTTATAAGTTTAAAAAATATTATAAATAAAATATTAAAACTTATATTATAGTTAACATTAAATAATAAAATAAAAAAAAAATTTTTTTTTTAAAAAAACGCAAAAAAAACGTAGCTATTATATATAATTTAAAATATTTACGCGAAATAAATCAAAAAAAAACATGCAATAATTGCTATAAAATTAATTAATAAAAAAAAAATAGCTAAAATAATAAAAAACAATAAAAAAAACCGATTATTTATATATTATAATTTAAATAAAGCTTTATAAAAAGTTTTTAAATAAGCGTTTATATTAATAATAATAAACTTAATTAAAAATTAAACGTAAATAATAATAACTACGTAGTTAAATTATATTAATAAAGCCGGGCTTATAAAAAATAATAAAAAAATTTTAATTAAAATAAATAATTAATTAAATAATTTAAAAAAAATATTAATAAATATTATTAAAGTTATAAATATAGTTTTAGCCGAAAATAATATAATAATAGCTAAAAAACTATAAAATAATAATATTATAATTATATTTAAAAATATAGTGTTTAAAAAAGCTAATAATAAAAAATAAATTATTAAAGCTTTTAAAAAAAACGCGAAAATATAAAGCAAAAAAATTATAATAATAATTCAAAAAATATATTTTAATAAAATATTATTATAGCTGCTATATAATAAACATTTAAAAATTACGCGGTATAAAAAAATAATATTAAAAAATATAAAAATAAAATTTATATTTATTATAATATATTTAAATAGTTTTACGGCAATTAAAGTTATTTATAATAATAATTTAATATAAAAAATATAATTATTTAATTATAAACTTTTTATAAAAAAACTAAAGATTATATAATATTATAATTATTATAAATTTAAGTATATTATAAAATTTTGCTAAAAAAATATTAAATATAAATATTATATTATTTTTAAGTATTAAAAAAATAAAAAAAAATGTTTTATAAAAAAAACAAAGGTTAAAAAAATATATAAATTATAACGGCAATTATATAATATAAAAAAAATTATATAAAAAAAAAACAAAAAAAAAAGCAAAAATTATATATATATTACGACTTAAAAACTTTTAAAATATAAAAAAATCGGCGGCTATTAATAAAATAGCTTTAAATAATAAAATATTAATATTTTTAGCTTTAATTTTCGCGAGGTTTAATAATATAAAATCTTTAGCAAAAAAATAATAAACTAGTAGCGCAAGCAAAAATATTTTTTTATTTACGCAATAATTTATAATATTATATTTTAAAATATCGTAAAATTAAAAAATAACGCGGTAAAAACGCTATAAAAAAATAATTTAAATTATTTAATAATATAAAAATCTTTAGTTAATAAATATAATAATATTTACTG